AGAGACAGAGAGACAGAAAGTGAGAAATCACCCCCCAGGGGGGATGGCCATGCCACAATCTCCTCTCCTCCAGTCTCCTCTCAGGATCTTGGGCATGTACACACACGTGCCCAGCTTGAGTTTAAGCCACTGGGTCTGGGACTCAAACCGTGGTCAAGTATATGGGAGTCCAGTGACATAGCCATTATGCCAACTGCTGGTCCCGTAAATAAAATAATTCTTAAAAAAAATGAATACATGTTTAGCTTTTGTATTATGTTTAAGGAAGAACTGATATGAGATTCTATGCCAAATTTAACATGTTATGTAGAAATACTATAAAGTTTAGAATTTTTTTTGTATGTTTACTTTAAGTCCATAACTGATTTTTTTTTATGCTGTAAAGGTCAATTTCCTGTTGAAGAGCAGGATTTGCAATAAAAATCAATAAACTTAATAGGCTTGCCAAATTCACATATAGAGTTATAAATGACATACATGAGAATATTTCACTTTCGGGAACCAGCAGTTAGCGTAATGGCTAGGTCGCTGGACTCCCACGTAGTCGACCGCGGTTCACGTCCCGGACCCGGTGGCTTAAAACTCACACCGGGCGCGTGTGTGTGCTTGCCCAAGATCCCAAGAGGAGAATGGAGGAGAAGGGATTGTGGCGTGACCATCCCCTCTGTGGGGTGATTTCTCACTTTCTGTCTCTATGTCTCTCTCTGTCTGTCTGGCGAGCGCACGCGCCCTATAACAAAAACCTCTCAAAAAAAAAAAGAATATTTCACTTTTGCCAAAATTCAAAAATAGTTTAATTATAGATATTGATATATGTGTAAACATATTTTTAATTAATAGTTCCCACTTGCCTTGTTTCCTTTCAATAGTTTTTTTATTGTCTTTGCTATAATGTGATATAGACAGAGTAATAATTATCTACCTATTGTACATTCTCAAAGGATGCAAAATAAGGTTTGAGAAGATCTTTAAAGGCAACTAAGACAAGAAAAATATGTCACTCAATAGCTACTGTTGGCTCAGATACTAAGAATATATTTTAGTGCAGCATTTTTTTTTTATCAAAAAAAAAAAAACAGAAGCTAGAGAAGAAACGCAAAATTCTTGAATTCAAAGGGAAAACTAATTTTATGAGAAATTTTTAAATTGGGTCTATGATGATTGAATCATTTGTATGGAAAACATTTAAGATTTTTGGTTAAGTTCACTTTATAAGAGATCATAATTTTCATTGCTCCCAGCATTCCATGCCATCTTTGAAAAATATTTAGCACATGATCTTTGACATAGATTAAATCACATAAACATTAGTTGTGTTTGTTATTATTATTGCTGTTACTAACTTTCAGCCCAAAGATTTATCTCACACAGGCCTTTTGTTAAAAAAGAAAAATAATTTACATTATGTTGAAATGTATATGCCAAAAATGTCTTGGGTAATTTGAATCATTACTTGTGAATATGAATTTTCTAAGTAACTCGTCAGTCGAATCCTAACACTGAATAGGAAGATCTGAGACATTAGCTTGCATTCGCCTGCCAAGGCACAATGTTTACTATAGTTAATAACATTTATGAGGGACTGGCGTGGTGCTGCAGCAGTAATGTGCTGCTAAAGAGATGCTGGATCCATAAGGAAGAGCTCGGGTTTGGTTTCTTGGTTGATCTCTATACATTAGGCACATATGCACCCCATGATTTTGGCTGGTTGCAGGGAAGACTGAAGCGTAATAACCCTTTGAGGGTACAGGGCATTTATTTCTTTTTCTTCCCACCTTTGGGTGTCTCTCTCATAAAAGAAGTAAATAAACCTAAAAAATACTAATAATGATAAATAATCATGTTAAACACATAGTACGTATATGTCAGACATTACTATAAATATTTTGTAGTCATGAGCTCAATTAATTCTTACAAAAACTCTGTGAGGTAGATTCTATTATTATTTTAATTTGGTAGATGAATTTTGCATAGGGAAAACGAGGCGTGTCACTAGATAAATTCAGGTTGTCTGCTGCACATCATCCTTTATACTATAATACTATTCCTGCCTGTTAGGTGCTTTTTTTCTATTCTTTTTCTCGGGGCTACAATGCTACTAGGTCTACATTTCTAAACCATTATCACCATTTTATAATTTTAAATAACATTCTTGGCCTCACTTATAATTTATGTTAGTATATATATTCAAATGTATAGTACCTTCTCATTAATTCATATTAAATAAAACCATTAGTAAGAGTTGGATTTAAAGAACAGAGTGTATTTTTAAGAGCAACTTTGTAATTTTTAGTATTTATTTATAGATGTTGGCATAGAGATCACACACAGAGTTTTGGAAGATCTATAATTATAACATTCAGAAGCACTTACAAATGCTTAATTTATGATAAAACCATATATCAAAAGTGCTGGTGAATGTCTAAGTGATATACATTCTTTAAATACTTTTAGATATTACTCTTATTGCTTCTTCCATAAATTTTCCAAGAGGACTATTATAAATGACTGATAATAGTGTTTTAAAATATTACCATGGTGCTGAGAGTATAGGAGTTATCAAGGTTCAATCACTGAGTTTAGTAAGGAAAAGTAATATTCAATCTAGTGATTGTTGGAATAGGGTCAATTCCAGTGACCTATAAATCAAGGCTAATGATCAATCTTTACTTTTATTTTCAGTGTTCTAACTGGTGTTTTCTTATCTTATGTTTTGTGCAAAGGCTGTGGATGAACACATGGAAACACTTCTACCAGGCATCATGATTAGGTCTCCCTGCATTTTATCACAACCAAAATACCTAGATCCTGGAACCAGATAGCAGCATAGAGGTAAAGCACAACATTCTGTGAAGCTCCCTACAGAGAAGGTGCTCGGTTTGTGTCCAGAGACCTCCCTGAGTATTTCAGGCATCTGCATGTCCATGATCTGGTGCTGGTTGAGCTGGGAGTTGATCATAGTGTCAAGGTCCTACTGAGGATGCTTTCTCTCTCTCTCTCTCTCTTATTCATCAAATAAATTAAAAAAAAAAATAAAAGAAAAATAAAACATGTATCTAGAACCAACTTGTTTCTGTCTCGAAACATCACTATTTCCCAGCCAGCTGAAAGTAGTTGAAATTGTACTTGTTTTATCAATAAAAACAACAACAACAACAACAACAACAAAAAACCTTCCATGATCTTTGTACCAATTTTGCAATAGGAAAAGGAAAAGTTGAAATGTATTAGCTTGGGAGCCGAGTTTAAATTAAAATAACACTGACACCGGAAAATTGGAATATTTGACTTTCAAGTTGCATTAGTCATTGAGCAACTGGCCAAATGGAGGTCATGGACAAGGAGAGGCAATAGGATTGGGATCTGCTGATAGATTTCAATTGAGTGCTTATAAGCACAGTTATTTATAGGTCAGAGTTCTGAACTGCAATTAGTTCATTTAAAATAAACATACATTACTTGGTTAAAAGTTTTATATCATGTATTTGTGGTCTTTGTGCCTTTCCTTTAACAGAATGCACTGGTGAAGAAGCTAAGACACTGGGACCAGCAGTTAGTGTAATGGCTATGTCGCTAGATTCCCATGTAGTTGACCGTAGTTCAAGTCCCGGACCCAGTGGCTTAAATTCAGGCCGGGTGCATATGCGTGCATGCCCAAGATACCGAGAGGAGAATAGAGAAGAAGGGATTGTGGCATGGCCATGCCCCCTGGAGGGTGATTTCTAGCTTTCTGTTTCTCTGTCTCTGTCTTCCTGGCATGTGCATGTGCCCTCTAGCAAAAAACAAACAAACAAACAAACAAACAAACAAAAAAACCTCTCAAATAAAAAAAAAAAAAAAAAGCTAGGACACCAAAACTAGAAAATGTATATGCAGGACTTAAATCTGATTTTCAGACCTGTGCAGCCTCCTTCTTGGAAGTTGAAATAGCCATGGGCACAGTGGTCACATTTTTTGCCTGTGACACCAGGTTGGCACCAACATTGTCCAGTCTCTTCACAGTCGAACGACTTAGACCCAAAAGAATTGCAGTTGCAGGGAATACAGCCTCTTGCAGATTGTAGTCCAAAAGTTTCAGGCTGCCATAGAAGAGGAAAAAGAAAAAATGAAATTAATGATCTCACAATGAAAGAAGATGTACAATTCCAAGAGATCAACTAGGAAAAGAGGGTCCTTTTGCTACAAGGGTTCATCACTGGTGGTCTAACAACTGATTGCCATTTAATTGAATGGACCTTTCTATGATAATCAAAGAGAGAAAATTCAGTTACTTGAAATTTTATCAAGATTCACAACAGACTTAGGGCATTATCTTCATGTCTTTTATATTTTCAGTATCTTTATCCTATATAGCTCAAGGTTCTAACAACAATGGAGAAATAAGCTACAGGTGATAGTTCTAGTTTTAATTAAAATTTCTTACTTCCTTCATTCCTAATCTGAATTGATTACTTTGGGATGTTACAAACTCCTTCTACTTGGTTAAAAAAATAAATGCTTTCAGCATTATTAACCAGCAGTCTAACGGTAAAATAATTTCCCCCTAATATTTGATCTACTTTTTAACATATTTTAGATAGTTCTAATTATCACTACTGTGTTCACATGATAAATGTAATTTGCAGGTTATGCCTAAATTCCCAAATGATTGGTTTGACAGACATCTAGTTTCTTGGATTTCATTCTAACAATCCCAATTTTGTGAGAACATCTTGTGATTTGTGAGAACATTGAAGAACCAGATTAGGTAGGTAAATGTGAATGTTCGTCCTCTTACGAGTTACTCATATGCATATCCCTTATTTGTTTGTAACAAATAGTTTCTATAGTCTAGTTTTCATTACTTGCTTTCACTGATTTTTCTTGAAATGCATGTTATTAGGAAAAGAGTTACTATGCTAGAAAACACTGATGGATTCAAAATTCACTCCCACCAGAAAAAATAAAAAGCATGTATCCTACTTGAAGTATATCAGGTTGTCTTTTTAAATATAAAGTGTGTCACATTATTATGCTATGCTAATCTGGAAAATTAGTCTCAGTAATTACTTCTTTGTAAAAATAATTCTTATTTTAGAAAATTAGACTTAATAATTACTTCTTGTTAAAAATAAATCTTGCCACTTAATGTAAGCCACCCAAAGAGAAATGAATAAACCTCATTAGTTATTTTTGCTATTATTATTAACAATATTAAAAATAAGTTATAGAAAATAAAATAGTGGGTCAGCAGGTGACGTGGTGGTTAAAGGCGATAGACTCCCATATGGCCGACCACGATTCAAGTCCTGGACCTTGTGGCTTGCTTTCTCACGTTCCCTCACTCTGTCTTTCTCTAATCAAATTGGAAAATAATAATAATCATAAAGTTAAATAAAGTGATTCTAAAAAAATAGCACTGAAAATTAGAATTTTTAAATGATGGTAGGTAGCTAAGACTATTTTTTAATGTGAAATGAGTTGGTTTGATAATCATCTCAGTCTTTATATTTACATTATATTGCTTTATATTTATTTCTGGTTTTAATTCAGATTTTATTACATAATTATGGAAGAAAGTATATAGCAATTTTTTTGAGAGGTTTTTGCTATAGGGTGTGTGTGCTCTCCAGAAAGAGAGAGAGACAGAAAGTGAGAAATTACCCCCCCATGGGGGATGGCCACATCACAATCCTTTCGCCTCCAGTCTCCTCTTGGAATCTTGGGCATGCACACACACACTCCCGGTGTGAGTTTAAGCCACAGGGTCTGGGACTTGAACTGCTCTGGACTACATGGGAGTCCAGCAACATAGCCATTACGCCAACTGCTAGTTCTGTATATAATGATTTTAATGTGACTTTGAAATTAAATTTGCCTATATAAAGAAAAAAATAAAAGATGCAGTATTTTACTTATAAAAATAAATCCAATGTATAATTCTAGATACCTAGACTAGAGAAATAATCAGAAACTAGACAATGATTAAAGCACAAGCATGCACATTACAATATTATTTATCATAGTAACTACAGAGGCACTTAAATGCTTAATGTTAGAGAAACACTTGCACAAATTATGAAACATTCACACTATGAAATAATATACAACAACAAAGTCATGTTTTGAGCAGGTTCAATGATAGAAGCATGCTTAGGTTGTAGCATTAGGTAAAATTTTTACAAAGCATAACAAGGGACCAGCAAAGGCATAGTGGTTACATCACTAGACTCCCACATGGTCAACTGTGGTTTGAGTCCTGGATCTAGTGGCTTGAAAATAATGCTTGGCTCATGTGTATGTGTGCCCAAGATCCAGGAGGAAAATGGACGAAAAGGATTGTGGCATGGCCATTCCTCCTGGGGCATGATTTCCCACTTTCCCTCTCACTATCTCTCTCTCTCCAGGTTGTGCACATGCCCTAAGGAAAAAACCTCTTTAAAAAAAGAAAAAAAAGTATGTATACACTATGATTCTAATTATATACCTACAATAACACACATACCACTCAGACATACACAAATAGAAGCATACGTACATAGAAAAGAAGACTAGAATATATTAAGATAGTTTTGTAAACTTGCTGAATTGTGAAAATAGTACTTTGCATTTATCTTTATCTCCTTTGCTTAGTAATCTGAAAGCAGAGACAGTACTTTACAGTTATATTCATCTTCATTTCTAATTTTTTCACTTAGCACACACATGCACATTTAACAGGTAAACAATTAAATATTAAGAACTCCCAAATCATAGCTATTAAAAATTTCCAGTTGATTATTTAAGGAAATGTAGAAGAAAAATAGTCTTCATACTTTTCATGTATTTAAATAATGTAATTTCCAAGACTAACTTGTACCAAAATAAATACTGCCAAATTTCAGTAATAAAATTTTAATAAATTCAGTGTTTTAAAATTTCGAAGGCTAAGGAAAATCCATCTGGCAAATAAATTTTAAGAGCAAACATTCCAGGTAAGTCATGGAGATTAATGTGATGTAATAAGTATGGAAGATAATAGCAGAAAATTAGATGGGTTCCCTCACATATATTCTTTACGTTAGGGGTTATAATAAAACTAGTACTAGATATTATGCTTCCATGTGCCAAACACTGTTCTAGAACTCTTTGCAGATATGAATTCATTTGCTCTTCAAGATGAGTTGTTATCTCATTGCTTTTTTATAGTAGTAAAACTAAGGCACAGAAAGGTCAAGCAAGTCAGCCAAGGTCACCTGCTGGCCAGTTGTGGATAAGGATTACATATTAGCCATCACGGTCTCAGAATCTCTTAATTCTCACACGTACTGTCTCAGAGGAAACATAGTCTATGGACAAAACACTGCTTCACTCAACAGTATGGTAGAATATGTGGGAAAAGAGCATGTATAGAGTTGACTCTTTGCTAAATTTATATTTTGGAGACATTTTGATCAGTTATTTTCCTTTTCATTTTTTTTAAATATATGTATTTTTGTTTTCTTTTGCTTTCTGGTTTGCTATAGGGTTTATGCTCTTGCCAGAGAGAGAGGGAAAGTGAGAAGTCTCCCCCAAGGGGAAATGGCCACACTGCAATCCCTTCTCCTCCATTCTCCTCTCAAGATTTGGGGCACACATGGACATGGAAGCCTGAAAATCATGCTGGGTTCAGGATTCGAATCAAGCAATTGACCATATGGGATCCATTCTTCATTCTGCCTTAACCTTCACACCACTTGCTGGTCCTGAATTTGTTTTTGAATGACACAGTTTATTTTTAAAGACATCTTCATTTAATAAGAGTAGTAGTAATGATAGTAGTAGTAATACATAACATTTACTAAGAATTCTCCTTGCTTATGTTCTATGTGAGCTCTAATTTCTGTTCTGAAACAGCCTTGGATATATCTCAACTCTCGGCAAGAGAACTTGCAGGGCAGAATGTTGATGATGGACAATCTTCATGTTCCAGTCTTTTGGATCTACTACAGAAGTTCTGCAATGGAGTGAATATTATATCCTCCTAAACTCATATGTTGAAATCCTGTCCTCAAAAATGATATTATCAGGAGGTGGAACCTTCAGGAAGTAAGTAGGTCAGGAATGTGAGGCACTTATGAATAGGTAAGGGCCCTTGTGAAAACCTCAGATACAGTCTTTGGAAGGGTAATATGAGAAGGTAGCCATCTAGACAAAGAAGATCCTCAGTGAATCTTCCAGCATTTTGACCTTGGACTTCCCAGCTACCAAAACTTTGAGGAATACATATATGTAATTTATGAGCCATCCAATCTATGCAATTCTGTTGTAACAATCCCAATGGACCAAAACAAGCTCACAACAGGCCATGCTTTTTTAAGGTTTCTCTCAATCAAAGGCTGGTTACAGTAGATTACTAAAACCTTAATGCCCGAGTCAAGATTCTTCTACTAGGCAAATTTTGCTTGTTCCCTTTCCATCACCCAGGCCACAAACTTGGAATTTTGGCAGAGTGCACCAAATAAGGTTTTTCCTACCCAGCCTTTCCTTCTCTGTTTTCTTCTGCTACATGTTTTGCTCTCTTCTCCTTCATCCTTCATTTCTCCCAGGAAATCTCTTTGCATTTATTTCTTGGAGGAGCTAAGGATACACACACTCTGCAAAGCGAGTCTTACTATAGATAAAGAGGCTAAATTACAGAAAGAGCCAATGATCTTATAGGTGGGAAGCAATAAGAGTGAGATTTGATCTGAGCTAGACATATAGCAGAATCTGCTCTCTTAAAATGTCTAAAATTGAGCTAAGAAGCAAAACTATGATTTTTTTTTCCTTCTCCATTACTTTTTATTTCACCCTCTCCTTCTATCCCCTACTTTCAACTTCCTATTGGAACTGAATCTACACTGTTAGATCTTGTCTCTTATGTCTGCAACTCAGTCTCCTGGAATCTGGTCTTTTTTTCCTCTCTTCTCTTTTACCCTCTTCCTTCTTCCCAGCACTTTTTTTGTTTGTTTGTTTGTTTTTTCTGCTGTGTGAGATGGAGGACCAAAGTTCTACAATTGTAAAACACTTCCCTTATTTTGTGTACGTTGTGCATTTATACGTGTGAGAACATGTTCCTTGTGTTTGTTGTAAACATAAGAAAAATATGTTATGCAAATTAATGAAGTTCTTAATTACAATAAAATTGTTAGGCAAATGTCAGATCAATGGGTTAAAATTTCTTAGAAAAGTCACCTTCTTTGCCAGATTTTGTTTTATTTATTCACTCGTAAAATTGACTTTTCTTCAAATGATGCTTGAGGGTCCCTTCTGTTTGTAAGATTATAGGTTCCTATAGAAACATTTTAATTTTATTTCCACAAATATGATTAATTAAAGCTCTGTGAAACTATGATTTTGAATGTATTTTTAAAAACATATGGATAGTTCTTTTTTAAAAAATAGCAAGGCTTCAATCAGGAATGGCTGAATTTGTGCATTTGCAATTTGCACACTTAACAACCATTATTTGGTAAAATTGCCACCAGGGAACTTCAGTTGCAGCACACAAAACACAACATGCTGAGGCGCAAACCATGCAGTGCCTCTGGGATTTACCGGAGCTGGGGGCCGATAGGCTCCCCGAGGGCACCCACTGGAGCTGCTGAGATCCCACCTCTGGGGAGACCCCAGCACCCGCTGTGCTCTCGGTGGCTGATCCTCCTGTCGGTGCACCTGCCTGCTGAGGTTGCACTGTTTCCCTATGAAGCCCGATTTACAGACACACTGTCCTGTAATGTCACATTGCGGTGACACCGAGCCAACAGGATTGCAGTCACACAGTGCACAGAATTGCTTCTCTTGGTTCCACCACAGACTGGGCTTTAAAAGCCAACAGAGAAATAAAATAACAACAAAACAAAAAAGAGCACATGGTATTATTCAAGAGATAGAAGCAGATGATACTTTCAAACTTTTACAAAAATCTTGTCTGACATCTGAGAAATGCTTGCTTCTGCTGAATGGTCTTTATTACCAGTAAACTGTACACATTTGTATGAAAGAGCCCGCACAAACCTATCCACTCTCATGGAATATCTCAAGGGGCTCACCATACTGAAGGCAGGGCAATAGATAAGTTCAGAGACTGAACAAGACGATGCATCTAAAAAACACCTTGATTAACATCCCTACTAAAAACTTTTGGAGAGCTCACTGGAGCTAGCTTTTAAAGGACAGCAGTAGAAAAAGGCATTTGTTAAAAACAAAGGAAGCGACACATTTTTATTCTGCCAAAAAACAAAGGCAAAAGAAAGAATATTTTACTCTCCATAGACCAGGATTAAATTTGTATGTCATTTGCTTCAGAAGCATCTGAATTACAGCATTATACAAACATATACAATATATACATTATACGAGTTCATTACCAAAGAAATGTAGAAGGTCAAATGCTAATGTACAGCATTTTTGCTCTATACTGAGAAGCATCTCACTGATCACAGAAAGTTTACTTGTAGAGTTAGACAATCCTGAGGCCATCTTTCAGTAAAGTATATAAAATATGTCATTGAAAGGCAATACAAATGTTCAGAGAACAAATAATTCACTGGTCAGCACTTACTCCTCACCTTACATTCATCACATCGCCGTCCCTGGACGTTGGGTCTGCAGTCACACTGTCCAGTTTGAGTGTGACAAACCTCAGAGAAGGAGCCGTTGACATTACAGTGACAGGCTGCAAAGAGAAGAGAGATCTGTAGAAACACCTCCCATAGTCTTACAGGGCTTGTTAAATAATAGATCCCAAATGATAATATGAACACCAAATTCAGCAACAGAATGTTTTTTGAGTTGCTAAGTATTCTTTGTTTGTTTGTTTGATTTCTATAACAATTCTACACATTTACATAAAGGCACTAGCACAGTTCCTGGCATATCTTAGGCTATGACAATATTAACGTCATCATTATTATTATAATCTTGAGAATAAAGACCGTGACATTCTAAAAAGCCCTAACTTACATAGGGCTACCTTCTTAGTAGGTGACATAACAGGGTCCAGAATTTGACTGAGATCTAGAGTTCCCTAACTCCAGGTGCAAAGCTGTTTCACTTCATCCTAGATACATGGGGGGAATATTTAAAATATAACCCTATTGTAAGAAATGCATACTGACTCTAGGACTAAAATCCTTTTGAGAAACTATAGAGCTTAATAGCACCCTTGGCATAATATGAATGTCACTATTAATCAAGCAACATTTATAATTAATCTTTTCAATATAATAATCACTTGCAATGTGTCAGTTTCTGTGTTAAATTTAAAAAACGAACTTGAGATGAAATAAATATATATATACCATTAAGACGAGAAAAGTATATAAGATAACTGACACATTGTTTCAAGAGTATTAGAAATATAGCATAATAATTTTTAAGAATCACTTTTAATTTACAATTTGCAGACTATCACCAAAGGTAGGAAAATATGTAGATTAGATTTCTTTTGTCCTTTTTATGTTATGAAGTTGTCTGATGTTATTCTGAGACATAGAATATGTCAGTCTAAAACTTAAGTGGACTTTCTTACAATTGGAACAGTAATTAATGGCTTAGTCTGTATTCTACAAGTGTATTTATAATGATATATATAATTTCTTTGATATTAGAATAAAGATGTGAGGGGGTAAGGACATAGAAATTCAGATTACTCATAAATGGTTTGGGTAATTTTATACAATGCCTCTGAATATTTAGAATTTACATTTTTTTTAGTGTGGAGATTAAAAAAATTAAATTTAACGTAAATGTAATGGAAATTAATTAATGTAATCTTTTAAAAAAGCAATATAAAATTTGGTTAACACGGCATTTTTAATGGAAAAGTATTGCAGAAAGAATATGTAAAAATTTAAAATGCAAAATCTGTTTCTTTGTATTTATGTGGTTTATGTGTACATATGTAGAGACAACTAAAATAATTATTTTCATAAACTTCCTTTTCTTGAGGATTTGCCACCTATGCATAGAACTATGTATAATGTCCATGAAAAAATATGATAATATATTCTAATGTGTTTTTTATCCCTTTAATTATAATTACTAATATATGCTGAAGAGCCTTGATAGTCATAATTATGTCTATATTCATGGTAAGCAGTATAAAAATTGGCGAAGGTTCAAAATGTTTTCATTTTCACATTCTCCTATATATTATGAAGTCTTCAGGTCATAGATACCTGAAGTAAGTTACCATAATAAAATAAATGGAATAATACCCTAACCTTCATTGCTGCTGCAAAGGAGCTAGCACTTGTCCCAGAGTCCCAAAGGATGCTCTCTAAAGGCTTGATCCTTTAGTCCCCACAGAAAACTCATGAGTCTTTCTGATAATGGGGAAACTAAGTCTCAGTGAGGTGAAATGTCTTGCCCAAGGTCACACAGCTAGAAAGTACAGATCCTGGACAATTCATTAGAATGGGTAGAAATCTTAAGCCTCCAGTGATTTTACATATATGCCAAAATCCAGTGCTTAAAGGCACTATAGGCTTGTTGGAAATTTTGTTTTAAAAATGATCAGTTTACGCATAATGTTAATAGATGCCAATTGTTCCAGAAAATGATTTATGATTCAATTAATTATCATTTTTTTTAAAGTTTTGTAATAGGGCATGTGTGCTCACCAGAGAGAGAGAGAGAGATAAAAAGAAAGTGAGAAATCACCCCCCAAGGGAGATGGCCACGCTGCAGTCCCTTCTCTTCCATTCTCCTCTCAGGATCTTGGGCATGCACACGCCTGATGTGAATTTCAAGCTGCTGGATCTGGGAATGGAACTAGGTAGCTGGCCATGTGGGATCTAGTGTCTTAACCTCTATGCTACCTGCTGGCCCATAAATGATCATTTTTAAATGATAAACCAACTTGTACTCATAGTCTAAACCTATGATGAGAAAGATACATTTCTTACAGAAAATGGGATACATTCCTAGGTCATTGGTGCTTATAGCAGAGATGGTAACAGACTACATTTCCAGCAGGTGCTAAAATTCTGCAGGTTCTGAAACCCACCGGCATGATTGAAAGTGTCTCTTCTTATATCATAAATTTGACAGAAATGAACTGTTGGGCAAGTCTCCTAATTTGCTCTGCCTACAGAGTATGACTAGAGATAAAACTGGTGGTGGCATAAAGCACTCGTATGCTAATGTAGACCCACATTCTATTTGATTCCACAGCAATATTTCCTTTGCGTATTATATTACCACTAATATAAATCATTTGTAAATTCTATGTGACACTGAATAACGCAGCTAAGGAGGCAAAGATGAGGGGAAGAATATACTGTGCTAATATGGATGAAGCCCAAGAGTAGCTAATTTTGTGGAAGAAAAACACAAAAACAGCATTCCTTGAATAGTCTTAAGATGAAGGTTCACCACTGAATAGTTATGAATGGCAGTGTGTGAAAATATTGGCAGAATTTTGCACCTATTATGAAACAAAAAACTGCAAAGTTCACGTGTGAAAGGATAACTGATGAACATCTCTGATAGGTACTAAAGACATAATATGAGCAGATAAATGTATTTCAAGCAAATGATTAGAATTCACATAAATAAAAGGATAAATAGTTTCTGCCTAATTTCGAAATTATTTTTTCCTTCTATGGAAATAAGTTCATTTGGAAATCCTCATTCCACATGTAAACAGAAATATGTGTGTCATTTGAAAAACAATGCTTCAACATGGCAGCAATTTTCAAAGGATTTACTCAATTAGTTAAGACAAAGAAATATTTTAGAACATGTAGACTCTATGTTGATGCTGGTGCATCTATCATCCATGTTTTACACATCATTTCCTACTTTCCAGTCCCCATTCAAGAACTCATCAGCTGCTTTGAGGTACGATGCATCAATTCTGTCAGGAGCATCAATAGTTCAGGACTTACGCTGACAGTTCTTTGCATCAACTGCGTCTCCAAAATATCCATCAGCACAGAGCTCACAGTACCGGCCTGTTGTACCTGGCTTACATATCAGACAGGAGCCAGACAAGCTGTCACAGCTGCCAGGGATGGAGAAGTCAAGGTTGTCATTGCATTGGCATGGCTGACATGATCCTCCAGGTACAGAAGGTTGTCCAAAATAGCCTTCTGCACACCTAAAGTGAAAGATTTCAGCCGTGAGTGTTTCAGGGGAATTCACGAAACCCAACAAGGACAAATTTTACATACTTTCGGACATGACCCCTCTCTCAGGATGATGGCTTTTCCTTTTAAGTGTCCCTTTTCTCAAATGCAAGGTGATTAAAAAAATGTTTTCCTATAACAGCAGTGTAGAAACAAGATGAAATTCTGCCAGCCCCACAAGTAATTAGATTTCAGCCAGAAAATAAATAAATAAATAAATAAAAAGTCTTGTCACAGGCACCGAAGACAAGACCAAAGCATAATAAGAAATCTGCTACTGGCACTCGGAGGAGCCTGGGTCCATGTTGGAAAGCCTTTGTAGTACAACACATCATATGTCTCTACTCCAGTTGGTTGTTTTCTGTACAAATCTGTAAGGTGCACGTTTGTTGTTGTTGTTGTAGCAAGAGCTTGTTATGAGGAAACAGGCTCCAGAAGAAATTCAACAGTGAGAGTTCAGAATATATTACAGAGAAACTGTGATTTGAAAGATTCTAATTATTTTTGTGGGGGCTGTTGGTATCTCTGAATTAGTAGATGCGTATCTATTTGCATATGCATTTAGAGGTGGAATTTCATTGAAGTGTCTTTCCTAAAGGGAAGTCTGAAGTTGTATGCCTGCATATTATGGCCACATGTTACAAAATGATGCTGACCTGTGTCATAGCTCATATTGGCAAATTCTAAGTCTTTTCATTTTTTTTTTATAACTTCAAACTACTATACATATTACTAAAGAAGACAAATGCATTTTTTGCCTATAAGGCATAAAAATGGATTTTTAAAAGTTACAGTACTGTTCCAGCCACAGAGGGGTATCACTGTGCAATGCTGGAACCACGTGGGAGTCTCAGATCCCGAGTGAACTCGAACATGCTTGGCACACCCGCATATATCTGTCATCCAAGCTGGCTGGGAGGCTGGTAGTCGGGGAGCATTGCTGTGTGGCGAGACCTTGTCAGAGTGGCTTGTCTCTCTCTCTCTATCTCTCTGCCATGAAAAAATAGGGAAAAAAATCGTAATATCAAATTTTCCTTGATTCAGATGTTACATTTAAAATGCTTGAGTGGAAGCAACAGATGGCATAGTGGTTACGTTGTAGGACTATCACATGGTCAACCAGGGTTTGAGTCCTGGACTTGGTGGCTTAAAAATCATGCCAGGTACCTGTGCGTGTGGTCCTGAGATCCTAGGGTAAGAATGGGGGAAAAGGGATTACAACATGGCCATCGTCCCTAGGGAGTTATTTCTCATTTTCCCTCCCACTGCTTCTGTTTTTTTTTCTCTCTCCAGTGAGCATGCATGCCCAAAGGCAAAAAAAAAAAAAAAAAAAAAAAAACTTAAAAAAAAAATACTCTAAAAAATAAAATAAAATGCTCACGGCCTGGACAGTGGTGCAGTAGTAAAACTAGAAGTAAAAGAGTGGGAAGTGGCATGAACATCCTCGAGGGTGTGCTCTCTCTCTCTCATTCTCTCCCTTGCCCATGGAATCAATAAGTAGACTAAAATCATAAACTGTTACTTCATGTTACAGATACATCCAGATAGGCAGTGCCGGCTGATATTCTGCTCTGTCTTCTCTTTCAGAGACGTCAGCTCGTGCTCCATACTGCACCACACTTGACAAAGGGGAAATGAAGCAGGACACCTGAAGTCTGTGTTCACCCTAGCTCTGCAGTCTGTACCATCTTATCAAAATAAGTCTCCCGCAGCAAGGGTCACGACTGAGGGGGAGCGAAAACAAAGGGAGCGGAAAGTATCATCTCCTCAGTAGGACACTCATTTAATGCTCCTCTACTCACAGACAGGAAGTCGCGGTGTAGAGGAAGGTTCTCTAGCTTGTGAAATAGACATTTCTATCTGGTGTAGATCCAGTTCTACACATTGAGGGTATTTTAATAGCATCGTATTTACAGGCAAAGTCACTCAGGGGCTACAGATACATTCTATGTTCTAGAAAATGTATAGAGGCCATAATAATTTTGTAGATTTAATCTTTATCGTAATTTTTAAAATGAGATTACTAGTTTTAATTATATTCACAAAATATTTTGCGAATTATGAAAATTGTACAAATATAGCTTAGGGAAAAATACCACCCACAAATACAATTATTCATTAACTTTCATTATAAACTATAAAATAATGCTTGAATGCCTAACGTTCCTGCCCAATCCTTTCAGGAGTGGTACTTAATAAAGATAATAAGAAGTCTTTTTGAATTTCAACCTGGCTCTTGTCTCATTTGACATGCAGAGCTGATGATCACATCCACCTATATGCACAGCTCATTTTGTTTACCACGAAAAGACTGACTTTGTTCTGCCAAAAGAAAGATATGCAATGATCATTATCATAGCCAACAAAACCCCATTATTTTCAGCTCACTTTCCTCAAAATAACTTACTGTCCTCAGGAGAGATGGCATTATATAACTAGATCTGGGCATTTTTCTTAACATAGATACCAATTAATAAGTTCAAAATTCTCCCGCGATGGAAAAAAAAAAAAAAAACCCTCAGTCCAGTGAGAAAATGACTATAATTAAATAGAATAACTAAAGAAGCATCTGCCTTTTATTTGTTACAGGACATGCAAGGGAAATTTGTGAATACACCTGATTGAAAATTTCATATGACATTTCATTGAAGGTGGATCATTTTCTGTAGCACTTTCAGCACATTACTGGTGTGTGCGTGCGTGTGTGTGTGAGTGTGTGTGTGTGTTTCTATACATAGAACTGTATTCTTAGAGACCTAGGAAAATGTTCCACTAAAAATGAAAAAGCAATTCTAGGGTGAGGGTATACAATACTGCTAATCATGTGATTTCTATGAGTGATAATAGCATTTTATAGTCTGATCAAGTTGGAATCAACTAATTAAAATTAGTTGAAATCAGTCCTTTGGACCTTTCCAGTATCTCAAGATTTCCCTATACCAAAATTAATTGCAGTGTATAATCTGAAGCTCTCTCATTTTCATACACAAGACAGAATAAGGACTTTTTTTTTTTTCGTTAACAGTTTATTGGATTTTCTTTGCTAGAGATGGACAACTTGACGAAAGAAAGCCACTGTTCCTTTTCACATTTGTTAACCTTTTCAAATTGAATTCAATATTTTTGAAAGAGACTCTTTAAATGTAAATAAGACTCCGGATAACATGCAGTTATGTGTAACCACACCATTAAAGCTATGGATAATTTGGAAACAATATGAGGGGCCTGTAAGGAGGGAGGAAGGAGGAGAAGGAAGAGAGAAAATGCCAGAAGGGGAGAGAAGCAGAAGTGCCAAGAGAGCAGAGCACTAGGGGGCTTTTATCTCATTCTGTACCTTCCTCTTTTATTCTTTCTAAACAACTCCTAGCTAAAATCTATGTCTACTTTCCCATTAACTATAACTAAAAATAGTGACATGCTAACTTCAATCTCCCCAAGCAAACTATTAGGCAGTCGGGAAAGTCAGGACATATTTTTCTGTTTTTTTTTTTTTTTTTTTTTTTTTAATGCAAAACTGTGTCATGATTTTTTGACAGCCCAATGCAAAAGCTCTGGCTTTTGCCCCCTTCCCTCTCTTCCTCATAAATAAATAAATAGATAAATAGATAAATATAAAAAAATCACAACTTTGAGCACTTCCGTGTGATCTTAACATAAATGGAGCACAGTCTTTATATGACAGTCCCTCGAAGAAGTAAAAGATGCAGCAGTAAACAGCTAGGGCTATGCAAAGGCTGTTATGGAAGCATAGAAGTCAGCACCCAGCTCTGATTAGGATTTATTATCAAGGACCCGTTGAGGATGACAGAGCAAATTCTGAAGAGCTTAGTAGCCGTTGGCACCGACATAGGAGTGAAGAGACTGCAGTATTGCAGGCAGAGGGTGGGGGAGTAGGTGGAACAGTACTGGCAAAGGCACAGAAGTGGGTGGCTGGAGTACACTGCAAGGGCTTGATTGTGTTGTAACTCTGAGTCCTTCCTACTTCCCATTTGATGGAATCATCAGCTAAAGATCCAGGAGGTTTGCTTATTTGTAGGGCACATTTCTGCAAATCAGAAAAAAGTGTCCTCTCTAGGCATTTGGAGAAGTGAAGAGACAATAGGTATGTCTGGGTACCCAGGCCCAGCACAGAGGTGCATGGGCAGAAAGAAGGCACACTAGATTCAAACCCCAGTTACTCCCTTTTCCCAGTGTACAAACTGCACGGTCAGACTTGAGTGGCTCTTTGAAGCCTCATTGGGAGTCAGTATTGCTGGTGGTGCTACCAGGTTGGTTTCTGTTACTCTGTGACCTCACACTCTCCACCTAGCATCCAAGGGCTTGGAGGGACTCACAAGTGAATAGAAAATGACTCATCAATAAAGTGTTCAGAAGGCGATCAGACTTGTTCCTGATTTAATAATTTCTGGAGCAGAGAGAACATTTAAATGGGATGTGGAAACTGAAATTTTAAAAACAAAAAGACACTTTTTTTTTAATATCTAAGAGGTGTCATGAAGATAAAATCATAGGTTTATTTTCAAAATATTCGGAGATTAGACTCAAATAGCTCCTGCATTCTCAGCAGCAATTCTGAAATTAGTGTCGAATTTCTTCCTTTGTCTCCTCACCTAGGGAGGAGCTGGTAAAATTTGTCAGGTGGAAGGAGCAGGGTTTAGGAAGTCCTTGTGCCCCATTAAGTCTCACGTTGTTCTCCAGCACCCACTAGTGAACTAGCCACAGGCTTTTAAATGTCTTTCTCCATGATGTATAATATGAGGCTGAGGTTACAAACTTATTCTGAAAGTAACTTAGCATCCAGTAGAGCAGGTGTCATCAGCTTTAACTAATTTTTGTTTTAAAAATTATTTATTTAATTTTATTTATCATTATTATTATTTTTCAATTTGCTACAGAATGCGTGTGCTCACCAGAGAAAGAGAGACAAAGAAAGAGAAGAAGAAGAGTGAGAAAGCAAGCCTCCAAGTCTGGGACTTGAACTGCAATCAGCCACGTGGGAGTCCAAGGCCTTAACCATCATACCACCTGCTGCCCTTTAACTCATTTTCTGCTCTATATTCTTTTTGATTTCTCTGGATGCTCCGATGCTTACTTAATTCCCTTTCATGTTTCTCTGCTTTCCAATCTTTCCCCCTCTCGTCCAGGCAATAAAGGCCATCTTAGCAGGTCTGCCATGATGAATACTCTCTCTGTCATAACCTGTTAAGCAGAGATAACCTCAAAGGCGTGGGTGCTGTGGCCCCACCTGAATGTTTCCCCAGCTCTAACTGGTGTTCTACATGTGGCAATATTTTGTTGTGTTTTTATTTGCCATCCCCTTGTTTACTATTTTTCTTTACTCCCTCAACATAAGAAGTAAGACCATCTAGTGCATCTCCCTAATGCCAGGTGAAGGGATATGACAGGGCAGAAAGTAGAAACAGGAATCTTGTATACTTTGCACTCCAAAAGCCTCCAAACAGAAAATGGGATGCGCCTAGACAGGCAAAAGGAGAAGTGATTCTAGCAGAGATGCCGATGGGTCTTAGTGTGATCTGAAAGAAACAGGATAATTCCTGTGCCTGTGATTGAAAATGAAGGGCAAGTCACTGAGTGGGGGGAGGACTAGGTCTGCAGAAATAATGCTTGGATGAATTACGATGCTGGTTGCCCCACTATATCCCTTGGCCCAACACCCACCTCCCTCCAAAACACACATACATTGAAGTGTACACACCCTTTGGTACCAATAAACTTACTAGAACTTGGATTCAATCTTGGAGGTGGGGAGGGAGGAAAAAGCTTTAAATCTGCTGAGCTTATGTTTCCAAGCTCTCATAGCTCCCACATATAGAGAGGAATCTCTTGGGCTGGCCCAAAATATAGCAGTTGATCACTGTACACTGAGAGCTGGATCCCATATGACAAACAGGGGTCTGAGTCCTGGCCCCTATGGTTTGGGGAACACATTAGCCATATGTGCCCAAAATGCTAGTGACAGGGAGAAGTGGAGGAAGTGGGATTTTAGTGAGAATACACCCCTTGAAGGGTGCTTTCTTTTCTCTCGCTCTCTCTTTCTCTCTCTCTGGTAAGATCACATATTCCCTGGCAACAGAGGAAAAGAAAAAATAATAATAAAAAGATAACAAGGGAGCCTCAAAAATAGAAATTAGAAATAAAAATATAAAGCTGTAATTCTTATCCACTGATCTGTAGTCTAAGATAAATAGTTTTTATATATTTTTAATTAGCACATAATAATTGTGTATATTTATGGATTGTGTTACGTTTTTACTTTATAATAAAAGCAGAGGATTTATGGCTACATAAATCTAAGAAACATAAAGGTAAAGGTAAACATATTGAACAGATATGTTCACTACATACTAGAGTACATGCCAGAACTTTTAATATGCTGGTGAATACGTCCCAAATTTGTGTGATCACAGAATTCCTTATTCCAGGAACATTTACAGTTTGGGAAACACTGCTTTAGTGTTTACATTGCTGATTTTATGTTGGTCATGTACAGAGGCTGATCACACAAATCACAGACAGAAGAGTTTTGATTACAAAATTTTCAATGCAACCAGTATCTGTCTTCTTACCCTGACCCTTGCCCTCCCTCCCACTTCAATATACACATCTCAGAAAATGTTTCTCTGAGTATTTTGTCATCTAATGGGTTTTTTGGCTCATATATGCAGAATGAAATGATAAATATTGGAGATTCTGGAAAATGCTCATCCAAATACAGGCTAAAAATATATTGTGTACCATGGTCTATATGTTAGTGGTTCATGATTTTTATCTTTAATTTGCTAGGGGTTGTAAGCACTTGCAGGAGAGGGTCAGAGAGACAGAAAGAGAAAGAGGGAAAGTGAGAAATCACCTCCCACAGGATACAGTCAAGCTGTAATCCCTTCTCCTCCACTTCTTCATCTTTTTGGAATTTGGGGCATAACTGCACACACAGTGGGCTTGTTTCTCAAGCCTCCGGGATCTGGAAATTGAGCCATATGATTGGAAATGTGAGATCCAGGACCTTAACCACCACCCCATGGTCTGGCCCTATCATTATTTGAATTTTTTAAAAATTTGTGGGACCAGCAGTTGGTGTAATGGCTATGTCGCTGGACTCCCATGTAGTCATCTGCGGTTCAAATTCTGGACCCAGCGGCTTAAACTTACACCGGGCACAAGTGTGTGTGTGTCCTGGATCCTGAGAGAAGAATGGAGGAGAAGGGAAGAAGGGATTGTGATGTGGCCATCCCCTCTCGGGGGGTGACTGCTCGCTTTCTGTCTCTCTATCTCTCTCTGTCTTTCTGGTGAGCACACGCACCCTATTAGCAAAAACATCTCAAAAAAATTGCTATGGGATGCAAGTGGCAAGTGTTCACTGGAAAGTATCAGAGAGAGAGAGAGAGAGAGAGCGAACTTGAGAAAGCACCCTCCAGGGTGATTGGTCACACTGCAATCCCTTCTCCATTCTTTCTGGATTTGGGGAACCCATACACACATGCTGGGCATTTTTCAAGCAGTCAGGTCTGATTGTTTTTGACTGGATTACTTGAGTTGGAGAGAGAAGATATACCATTTTCTACACTGCATGTACATGTTGCCATCTTCTTTGAAATCAGATTAATATAGATTTTAGATGGGAAATCATGTTGTCAGGTAATTCTTTCCTTGGTGATTTTTAATTAGATTCTTTCCAGAATACATGCAACCATTCACACTTGGATTTAAAAAGATGTGAACTGCTTGAGGGCAAGGATGGTTGTGTCTAACGCCTACCTCATACCTAGCACATGGTAGGTGCTGAACAGATGTTCGTTAAATAAAATTTAACATTTTAAATTATAGATGGTTTAGAAATTGTTGAAGGCATCTAGAAACTATACGCAGGAAACAAAGCAATAAAAATACACCAGAGATTATGCTCCCCTAGGTAAGTAGATTTAATGGTCTTGTATGACAGAGCAGCTGTCATTTTCCAGTTGCAAAAAAAAAAAAAAAAAAAAAAAGGGAAGTTTCTAGGCAGCGGGGATTGGGCAT